GCCTAAGGACAAAGCATGTATTTTTGAAACAGCAGTGTGTCCTGCTTTCTTTTTCTCCCTTTCTTCCTGGAAAACAAGTCAGTGCTTTCTTTTCATGCTTCCTGACCACAGCGACTGAAAAGCCTGCTGGGGAAGGTCCGGGAGAGTCCAAGTTCGCAGGGAGGCCGGCCTGCCCGTGGGGTGCACGCTCTCGTTTCCTGGGTGCAGACGATGGCAGTCCTGGGCCAGCCTCCGACGCGCAGCCCTCTGTGGGCCCCACGCCTGCTGCGGTTTCTAATGTTGCTCTGGCAGAGTTAAGAATCTGTGGTTTTTAATTATACCCCAGGACACCGCCCGGCCCTGTTCCAGCCGCCGCTCTCCTGATGGGCCGCGCGGAGGGACTGGAGCCAGGTGAGGTCTGCAGCCGCCACGCCCATAACGCAGGAAAACACGCAGAAATCTGCATGGACACCACCGGCGATGAGTCCCGGGAACCTGTGCAGAGAGCCAGGTAGAAAGCCTCATTTCAGAAGACGTGCTTGTGTAAGTGAATGTCTGACGTTTACAAATACACAGCAGAAGTGTGGTCACATTGTACTTTGGGGTTTTATTATTGAGCGTCTTTACGGTCTCGGTCTGGTCTCCTAATTGCCTCAGTCTTGCCCCTACTGCCTGCCTTCAGCGTCTCAGCCAGAGGGAAGCCTAAGGCTTATACCATTCGGAAGGGGTCAGACACCTTTCTGCAAAGGGCCAGACAGTCAATATTTTAAACTTTGTGGCTCCCAGTCTCCAGGGCGGCAACTCGACTCCGCACAAAGCACCTACACAATAGTAGACACGTGGGTGTGGGTGTGTTCCAATAAAACTTTATTTACCAAAACAGGCTACGGGCCTGACTTGGACCTTGGGCTGTATTTTGCTAATCCCTATCTAGAAAAAGGACAGACATTAATGAGCAGTATGGTGAGCATTCAGGAGCTTGAGGTAAAAGTGGGTTAGTGAAAGAACTGGGTGGGGTTTAGGGTGGAAAAGACTCGGAGAGTTTCTTTTCATTCATGACCAGACAAACCCCATAAACAATCAAGGGGTGAGCTCCCCATGGTTAGAGGTGTGCAAGCAGAGGCGGGTGTGCTTTAATTCCCAGGCCTGTTTTTGGAGGGAGAGGTCCTTTGCTTCTACTCAAAACTCCCCACGGCCCCTTGGTGGCCCCTGCTGTGGCTCAGAGCAGAAGCCAAAGTCCTCACGAAGATGGACAACCGCTGTGTGTCCGGACAGCTGCCACCATAGCCCCCACCCCACTTGCTTTTCTTACAGCACGGCACCAGCTTTCCTCCCTTCGCATGTGGGGCCTGTGCTCTCTCCCCCGGAACCTTGGCAGGCCTATGACTTTGGTGGAAGTGACATTATGTGACTTCCAAACCTGGGTCAGAAAAGGTGGCAAAGCTCTGCCCAGTTCTTTTTGGATGTTCCCTCTGGGAGCCCAGTCGCCATGGTGTGAGGAAGCCCAAGCCACATAGAGGCCCCCGGCTGAGGTCCCAGCTGACAGTCAGCCTCAACCACGTGACACCAGCCCCAGCCCCTGTCCCCATGGGAGGCTCCGAGTGAGACCCAGTCAACTCCCAGAGCTGTGGGCTGTAGCAATGAAATGTTGTTTTAAGCCACTAGGTGTTGGAGGCGATTTGTGATCTAAAGCAGCGGTTGCCAACTGGTGGCCCGTGAGGTCCGAAAGGTTGGCGACCGCTGATCTAAAGAACATTGAATGAGTGGATGCTGAGGTGCTCTCTGCTTCACTGATCTGGGCCCAATTGGCACTGACCCCTCGCTGAAAACCAGCCCCACCTCCAGGATCTCTGTCTGCTTCCTTGCTCTCTGGAAGCTTCTCTGGGGGCAGGCGGTGGAGCAGTGGTTCTCAACCTTCTGGCCCTATAAATACAGTTCCTCATGTTGTGACCCAACCATAAAATTATTTCTGACGCTACTTCATAACTGTAATGTTGCTACTGTTATGAATCATAATGTAAATATCTGATAGGCAGGATGGTCTTAGGCGACCCCTGTGAAAGGGTCGTTCGACCGCCAAAGGGTCGCGACCCACAGGTTGAGAACCGCTGCGGTGGAGTTTCCTGGGCGTGGCTCACTGCTGGGGTCCCCGCGGGTGCTCTCCAGGCCTTGGACACATGGGGACATGGCTCTCTTCAGGCTGCTCCCCTCCCACAGTGACGAGAACAGAGGCCCCTACCCTGAGGCTGAGGGCTGCTGGTTATGGCCCTTGATCCTGATGGTCCCAGGAACTATCCACTGCTCTGGGCTCCTGCTGCCGCCTCCCCAGCAGCGGCCAGACGCCCAGCCCAGCTGGTCTAGGACTCCTGGCCGCCTGCCTGCATCCCCGCAGAGCTCACCCACCACCAGGCCCGCTTCAGGCCTCGGAGAGAAAAATGTGCGTCGGGGAGAGGAGACAATCCTGCCCACTCCTCGCCCCCAAGACACCCCCCTTTCACGGACAGTCTTTCTAAGATGACTGACAGCACCCATTCCATTCAGATTTCACCTGGAACACCCCCGCCCTCCCCCGCCCCAATGCCCCTCCAGGATGTGGGGCAACATCATGGTCCCAGCGTGGTCTCCGAAGAGCCCGCTATTCAGTATTATGTTCTGTGACCGCTGATCCCACTTCTCTCCTCCTTCCAGTGCCCCCTTTGACCTTCCCTGCCAGGCTGGGAGCTCCTTTAAGGCACGTGGGGCCGGGCTCGCAGCCATCCCGGGCCTAGCCCTGAGCGGTGGGCCGTGTGCCAGGGTGGGGTGATCCTGGGTCAGGAGACCTCTCCAGGAGAGCCCGCCTCCACCTTTGAGGAAATCCACTCTGTTCCTCAAAGGATTCCCTGTGAGTCCTGCCAGCCGAGGTACGCAGGGCCTTTGTTTGTGGAGCGCGGGTGTGGGCAGGGCGGGTGGGGCCGGGCTGGGGCCAGGAGGAACTCCCGCCCTGGTGGAAGCCCATCAGGCACCTGCTCAAGGGCCATGGGTGTCCCCAGAAATCAGCTTCTAACTCCAAAAGCTCCCCCTCCCAACCCTCCTGGGTCCTCTGGTGAGGTGAGGCTGAGCAGGGACCCCAGGCAGGAGAGGCCGAGCCCAGAGCACAGTCTGCCCCTCCCGCCGAGGAAGGAAGCCAGGGAGGGTGGCGCTGGCTGAAGGTCACACAGGAGCCCTGGCCACGGGCCACCTTGGGCTGGGCCTCTCGCGGGAGGCCTCTGGTGCACAGAGGGCCTCAACGGTAACCCTTCGACATTCTCTCCGCAGGAGGTGACAGCCGGAGGCATAGCTGAGCCTTCAGCAGGGCTGGAGGAAGTTCATGTCAATCCTATATAAATCCCCCAATAAATCCTATAACTGCAGCTACCACTGTGCTAGCGCCCGGAAGGCTGGTTAGAAGTGGTAATTTGTTAGTTGCAAGCATGAAAACGAACGCCACGATTCTCATAACCCTGCCTTGACGTGTCTTGGTTTCATAAGACATTAGAGCCTTAAAAGTGACCACCCTTTGGGTTGTCCCCCACCTCCAGGGGCCTGGCCCCTGGACTGCGGGCAGTGGGCTGGGCAGCCTCCCCCACACACCCCAGGGATGGCGGTATGAGTGGAAAAGTCAACCTGACAAGCTCAGGGGACCACGTGACAGGACCGATAAGCTTGGTGACCAAAAGTAACCACACAGGATGATCTGATCTCAAATTCCTAAGTGGGCAGACATGGCGGGCAGTCACGGACTTATAGCTTCCTTAGCAAAGGCCACTCTGGACCTTCAGGGAGCCTGTCTATTGTCTCTGTGCAGCTACTTTGAAAGGTCAGAGTCGTTTTCTTTCCCAGACCCCTCAGGGCACAGCCACCAGCACCAGAGTGGAGCCCACAGAACCCCTCCTTGTTATCTTGTTGCCCGCATACCATCTCCACGTGCTGTAAATGTTAATTGTTAACTCTCCCGCAGCCAGCAATGCAAAGGAAGGATGTGTTTTTCCATTTTGCTTTTTATCCGGCCCTGGAGATTTCCTCGCTTTGCTTTCTCCGCCTCCTTCATCTACCACCAATGGATTTGCCGTATCTTCCTTAGGCCTCCTCCTTTGATTTCTCTCTCTCTTTGATTTTAATGTATAAAATAAGCTGCAAAACTGCCTTTCTCCAGAGCATTTTCTCAGTCCGTTGAGATCTTGCTTCTGGGCATGTCCTCAAAAATTTGACTCAAATAAACTCTTATAAAACTTTTCTATAGGCCTGGGCGTTCTCCTGCCAACGCGGGAAGGTGGTGAGGAGCTGGGGCTGAGCCCAGTGCGTGAGGGACAGGTGGCCACCTCCCCGCTCCGTTCTGTGCAGA